AGTTGCTCATCAAATTTTGCAGCATTGTTTTGGCCGTAAGATAGAAGGCATATCACTGATAGTTTCTAATCTTGCTGGATTTCAACATAACTAGCAGGGACATCAAAACCAGATGTCAAATCGGATACCGGTATTTCTGGTATCTTTGCTAGCGGCTGTATGTCAGAGGCAAGGCAAAAGAAAAAAGAAGAAAAACAAGAAGCACCGCCACCCCAGATAAAAATGAACTTATGGGTGTCGGTAAGCAGAGAATTCAAAATCCTATTAGTTTTTAATATAAAAATTATGTTTTGGCACTAAGCTCAGTGCACGGACGCTTTGCAACACTTTGGCTGTTTTATGTTTGAAATAAATCTAGGGCCGAAGCCGAATAGGAATTTAAGTTTGGAAATAACCCAGCTTCGAGGAGGTCAGAGTAAATGAAGCTGCCTGACTCTTGTTAAAAATGATGGCGAGATGAAGTCGAATCGGGGAAGGAATCATAGTTCGGAGATTTTCATACCACATTAGCCGCCTTTTCACAGGCGAAAGAATTACAGGCTTGTGAGAAGTTTTCCAAGCGTGTCCTCAATCCTGCACGCATTCAGTGCACACGCAAAGGCCACACATTCCAACGTAAATTCGTTGCTCGTACTCGTTATGCCCCTCGCCAAACGCGCATAAACTTGCAAGCCTACATGGTGAGTTCCTACCCAAAGACCGTCGTTTTCATTAAAAAAACCTCTTTTATCTCCGCCCGGAGCTAAAATTGTTATTCTATAACCAAGAATTGGAAGCCATTGCATGTACTACGGGTGGCACTGCATTCACACGCACATTCACGCACACACGCACGTTTGGTCCAAGAACCTAACGTGCGCGTACCGTGACACCTGTCCGTATATAAGCGTTGTGCCACCGTAGTAACGGCTTCTATTGCTAGTTATCGAATTGCGCTGTCCGCCTTGAGCATGCAAGAAACATCCCATCGTTTGTTGGAAAGAGCCATGTTGATGGGCTTTTCATTTCATTGGTAGGGATGCGACCATAATGCGTGCATTTCATAGTCGTTTGTGAACCAGCGAAGTGAAGTTCCTACCAAACGAGCCTCCATTGCTACTAACTTGCGCCCTCTCTTGGTCTAGCTCGGGGTATATAGACGAATCGACGTTTCACTTGACATTTCCCATTGCTCCGTTTGTACGGAGCGACTGTCAAAGAATAGTGGCTCTGTACAATAGTTATCGTGACGCTTACTACCACTGATGGGAGCCACTGCAGATGACCACTGACGGCGTTACCATGATCTCCAGACTCGTCAGTAGGGATATGCAGCAGGCGCGCGCCCGCGGGCTGCAACTTGGCAGAGCCTCCCGTATGTTGGAACCATACAGAAAGAACACTTCCGGAATTAGGAATTCGATCTAATATCGCAGGGTATACGGGTCGTGTGGTTTACTCACAATTCTCACCAGTCAATTTGTATCGTGACTTACAAATACAAAATTCACATAATCTCTCACGATGGAGTGGTTCAGTTTCAAACGTCTTATCTCAGAGGAACATTTTGTCTGGCCTGGTTTCTCTTAGTAGCCGGGACTGGGCACTATATATACAAACCTAATTTCAGCAGGACTGTTTCAACAGGGTAACTTGGTGCTTTGCAAATAAACGCAAACGTCCTTAGACCCATTTCGATTGGAATTCCTCCGATCGAACTACTCCACACGTCTCGGAATTGCGGATCGGTGAATGACACACGTCTGGCTCCCTTCACTTCACACAATAGGCCCATCTGTTTCATCCCCATGCAGTGTTAGATCTGGACGTGATACTAAGCACGCCAGTAATACAATTACGGAATTCTTGTAAACAAATAAACGTAACGAATCAGAACAAACTACGATTTCATCCATCTCAAAGAAAGCAGCCACGAAAGGAAACGCCCGTAGAAGGAAACGATGGATGGATATGTTGTACAGATTGATACTTCTGTGTACAGTTGCAGACTACCGGGCGCATGGTACGTGTTGGAGGCTGTGATGAGACCTTTCTCAACCCCGCAAACTTAAGGGTATATAGAAGCTACGAATGTTTTTGTAGACCCACTTTTTATAACTTTGTACTCTTCTGTTATGTATGAAAACAATTTCATATTCCTTTTAGATTGAATGTCTTGGAAATAGTACCTTTTTAAACATTCAAACTTGTCTATGCTTTCCTTGACAACTGAGGGTGTTGTTGCTGTGAAGTCATTCAGGGAAGATATGGTTCAATGGTTCATTACTTAGGCTTTTCAGACCAAATTATGAGCCCAAAACTTACCCATCGAAATTCGTGAGAAAGGTATGTTCGCTGGCCTATTGCCTTGTACCAACACATCAATGAATCATAAAATGAATGAAAATTTACAGAAGCAAAATGTAAGGAAACGCCAGGAGTTTTCAGTGACCAAACACTCTCCTGGAATGGCATCAGAGTTTCGCTCATGAATATGGAAATATCATTCGCATAAATGATAAAAAGGCATCAAAGTACCCTTCAAACGGTGAAACAAAAATGGGAAATGAGGTTAAACTAAAAAAAATAGGGGCCTTGGTTTGATTTTTAAAAACATGCATTGCATGGACCTTTAAGCATGCAGCTTATTAACGTGATAGGTCTTGCCAGTCACCATGACCCGGGGCAAAATATGCGCCTGGGGGAGGCCCAGGGATGGCCGGCCAAGGATAGGTAGAGCCGTAAATCCAAACAGACAGACTTCCAAGAAACTCATCGTCGGGTCACCACCCATAGAACACCCTCTCGACACCTCAAGGCCGTCTCAATTCTCGGAGAAACCAAACGAGGGGCTGTCAAAGTGTAGGGTGCAGGGTCTTACCTCAGAATTACCGGGAGGCACATGTGTTCTCTGCTGGAAATTGCTGCTACAAACTCGTGCAAGTATCTTCCGGCAACATTACATTGCGGTGATTCCTCAATGATTAGGTCGACTGCGAGACGGAGGTGGCCCTTGAATTGATCATACAGAAAGGACACAGCATGAACCATGATGTTTAGCGCGCGTCTGCAGATCCGCGGGGGGCAGATCGTGGATGGGTATCTGTTGCCTTTTTGAAGACAGGCACTCTGTAATCAGGCTTGCTACATTTTCTGGAAGACATGACTTAACGTTACTGACACTATTAAAAGATGTTGTTTGGCTTTGAACATGACAGTTGATACGGAAGGCTGTTAGCGAGTGCTATGAAAAACAGTCGCAATAACTTCATGCTGTGCATGCCTAAAATTTTCGAAAGGTTGTGTTTTACTGACACTTTCAAAACTTGCTCCTTGGAATTGGAAATCAGTTTTCCAATCAAAGATCACAGGTCTACTTGGAACATGGCATGTGGTCGTATCAGAGACTATAGTGACAGTCGGTGTTCGTTAAAAATAAAGCAGCGTTTTAAAATTGCAACAATAAAAAAATCGAATACGTGTACAGTTTAATATTCATGACTTTTGCGAGGACATGCAATCAAGTATTGCATAATACTAAAAAAAACCTTGAGGCCTAGGGCTCGTGTCCTCGGACGTATAGACGATGGGAAGAAAAGTGGAACTCGAGGTCTTCTGTTGTGAATATTAAATCTATGGTTTGTTGCAACGTTTCATCGAGTGTGTCATTTTCGGTCAGAATACACCTTGTAGCAGTCCGTGCAATTGCCATGACAGTGAACACATGAGTAATCTCTGGTTACAACAAAAGACGAGCTGTTTCCACAAACATGCAGCCAGAATGTAAGTGCTTAATCATTATTGATGTGCGACGAATAATATATAGAGAGCGCCCTGAAGCTCAGAAAAAAATCTCTCCCATGCATACATTCTGCGCGTAGATTTCGGCGAAAATATTACCATAATCCCCACTCTTATCCACGTTAAAAATATCGTCCTGCAAGCAATTGAGATGCTCCGCGTTCATCGCAAATTATGCGATCATCTGCTGATCAGCTGATGTCAGCCCAAAGCTTTAAAGAAACCAGTTTGTTTATACTTTATAAAAAAATTTCGATGTTTTCTCCAATATTACACACACGGTGATTGCACTAGGGACTTCCCCAGTAGAACAGAGTTCGCTCGGTAAATATGTAATTATGTTGCATTGTCGTTAAATTCCAAGAAATCTTAATCTATTTGTATTTTGGCACAAAGGCCACGTTATGTAATATCGATTGCGGATATTGATTTGCTTCATCTAGTTTTAACCTTGTTCATCGCTGCGCTGCTGGGCATAGGCCTATTATCGATGTCGCTAAAAATGACTGTTGATTTAAGCTTGACAGCTGTTGCGGATGTTCTACGAAGATAGTTTAGCTATATGTATCGAGCCTGGTTTCATGTCGGCATTTTTGCCCGGCACAAAACGGGAATCATCCTGAAAGAAATCAAATCGGGCTTGAAATGGAGCTCTCGGAAACGAGGGGCTCGTTTCCGAGTAAACTGACTAAAAAAATTTACGGATATGTTTATTAAATTATCTGCCTTTTGGTATGCCGCCCTGTGACTTGACAAAGATTTGACGAGTCCCACGGGGAGAAACAATGCATCGCCATACCGGTACCGTGCTGTTGGCTCTTTGCCCGGCCGGCCGCACTTCCGTTGTCTGGTTATGGGACCGTAGACCTAGGACGGACCATGGAGCTATTGATCGTGTGACACTTAGGATAGGGAGGGAGAGAATTTGCAAAGTGGAATGGGCTGTGTGTGGGGGGGGATTGTTGTGTGAGGAACTCGAAGCAAAAACAGTATACCAGGCAAGATATGGGACGGAGGGGTACCCCCCTTACCTGTCCAATCCCTATACACACTCTAGACTATTGTTACCTATTGTTACCTCTAGACTCTTGTTACCTATCCCCCCTAGAAGTCTGTAAAGAATTTCTGAGATTTCGATCAAACAATGACCAACACAAAGGCGGGGGGTTCTCTCCGTCCCATATCTTGCTTTAAATGAAAAAGAGAAAGGAATTTTGCATTCAAAATTACTAAGAACACGATATGAACTTTTCAGCATGACAGAACAAACAAATCACCTGCTGAGAACCATGTCACCGATCTGCCATTTTGCAAACGCACCCTTCAAACTATTGCCTGGTACACTGTCGCGGCCACCATCATTCTGGGTGGCTTCCCTGACACAAAACATATTCCAGGACAAAATTACAAAATGGCTCCACGTTATGATACAAAGCCTTTCAAATACATCTCAATTATACCAATACGTTTACATAGGCCTATCGCATAGAAAATCTCACACACTGAATCGAAAACACTACGTTCTACGTTCTTCGAGGTGCGAAGATTCCAAGTTAACAACAGTAACGGACTGGAACCGGATCTCAGCTTTTTTCCCCTCAAGCACAAGGTAATATAATGTCCAGATGAGATGCGCTTTGCTGATCCCTATTGGTTGGTCTAAAGTCACCGCAAAATGCGTGAGTCACGGGTTTGCCACTGCGCGCTTGATGTCACCGGGAATTCACCATGAACTTTCTGCTAACGTGCGCATTGGCCTATCGGGCCCATATCAAGCGATTGCACGCATGTCATGGACAGTCTAAACGTATACGAGGATTGCCACGTACAGCAACTGAATAAAATACAGCACAGCCACTCGGGCGGTAATGTGAACTGTGGACAGGATGTAAAACTTGCCGACGCGGCTAAGAGAGAACACAAACTACGACAAGTCGACGAGTGAACGTGGAGAAAACGCTGCTGCTTAAGAAGAGCACGAATGGGTTGGAACTGATTTCCTCTCGCGCTTCTGAACTTTTGTCAGAAAATACAAACCCGAACTCATCAAGGAAATGGATAACAACAGCATTACCGCAAATGCGACAGAATCTTGGACGGGAAATGGTTCGATGTCCTCCGCCTACAACAGCACCTTAGTCACGATCCCCGACTTCGATTTGGGACAGTGCAAAGATTTTCCAGCGAATGACATTGTCGACTTGAGAGATGACGAAGAGCAAGCTGCGACGTACGTGTTAAAGGAGAGCTTAAAGAACACCATGCTGCCGGTGCTGTACACCGTACTCGTGGTAGGTGTCTCTGCCAACTTGGCGTTTTTCTACGTCATTGCACGCGTGCCCCACATGAGAAATAACACGAACCTTTTCTTGGCCAACTTGGCCGTCGCCGACATCGCGTTCATCGTTATTTCTGTGGCCATGTACGCAACGTACTTTTCAGAGCCAGTGCGAAGTAACTACGCCACAGCGCAACACGTAGGTTGCATTGGCGCCTTTGTTGGTCAGTATATCACTTACTACGCATCAATCGGTCTGGTGACCCTTGTCACTGCTGAGCGGTATGCGTCAATCTGCCGGCCGCTAAGACACCGGTCAATGAACACTCGTCGCCGAGCGATCAAGCTCATCATTAGTAGCTGGATCCTGTCCTTCATCCTGAGCGGCGTTGCTATGCTCCGCTATCTCAATCTCGATCTGAAATGCATCATATGGCCGGACACAGATCGATTCCGTGGCTTGTCGGTCATCGCCGGCTACTGCCTCCCGTTCGCACCCTGGGGTCTACTCCTGGCCAACCTGACAGAGGCAATCCCGTTCATAGCGGCTTTCGCGGCCAACATCTGCATGTACGTCGGCATTATCAGGCGTCTGAGCAACCGGTCCGTACTCAAGATCAGCAAGGACAACCAGGCAGCCAGTCTGTCATTGAAGGCACATCAAGTCCGCCGACAGGTGTCCAAGATGCTGATCGTCAATGGCGTGATCTTCTTCCTCTGCAACACCCCATTCGTGGGGATCTCCCTGGCTTTCATCGTCAGCCACCTCCGGGGAGTCCCTCTGCTGAAAATCTACGAATCAATGGCCGGGATGGTGGTCATCAGCCACGGCATGCTGTTCCTGAATTCGGCCATCAATCCTTTCGTTTACAACGTTACCAGCAAGCACTACCGAGATGCCTTCGTGGACGCTTTCTGCTGTGCCGATACCAGCGAGAGGCCTCGGCTCGACAGCTCGTCTCTTGCGGTGGTGTCGGGAAGCAAGAAGCAGCCGATCGGGGAGAGACATTCGATAAATCAAGTGTGACGTTTTATCAAAAGTGCACTGTTGCCATCGTAACTGCAACCACATGACAGTGTAGAGATGTACTTGAAAGACTTCTCCAAAAAGCTTGATTTTCTAGACTTGCGATTTTTGCTATTTGTTTGGGGAAAAGGAGTTATGCTAGTATTACAACTTGGAGAATGACTCAGAAAAGGTCACAACATGCAATTGTAGTTATTGATAGCAAAGGTAATGTCACCCAATGACTTATATCTACTATTGCAGTGACAGGAACATTGGTAATGTGTCAGCTATTAATGTCTTTGTGAGATATAAATATTTTCCCATACAATGTGAATATCTTTATTATGTATTGTGTATATTTTTTGTCAAAGTTGATAATTGATGTTGCAAATATCTATTTAAAAAATGAAAACCGTTACTTACCGGTATTCAATAATCTATGCTATAAATAAACACTGAGTACTGATCACAGGGCACTGTCTCAACAAAGAGTGTGGTTAAATTCTCGTGGTAGTGCTTCAATAATTGTCCTGAAAATGACAAATCTGTGGAGATTAATTAGGAAAGAATTGTAGAAAATGATTTATGGGGAAGAATTTTAACCGACCCTGAAAGAATAATAGAGGGCGCTAATCATGTGAAGCGGGTGTGCTGTCTCATTCGGCGGTATCTACAAGAATTTTGGGGCTATGATTTGTGTTTAACGTCAGCTTCGTCAACCAGCAAACCTAACTGACCAATCAGGAATGCCTCCTTTGCCTTGTGGGCAGTCCTGTCAGTCCTATTCATTCTTTCATCCCGGAGGCTGAATTTCAAGGGACGCAGCTACACCGTGCATGATCGAGCCGACGGAATGTTGGGGTGCCTCAGGTAGGCATCAAACGACCCCTAGACCAGGAAACACATAAAGAAATCGTAGAGAGAGGACATAGTAGAAAAGCCCTTGTAACGTTGGACAGAACCTACGAATATTTCTGCTGCCCTGGCCGGGAATCGAACCTGGGACCACAGTGGTGAGAGGTGATACGCAAACCCACCGGTGCTTCTGTTTTGTTGTTGGTATTGCTAATATGAGCATTACTCTGCTCTGGGTCGTCAGAATTCGTTCAACCGACATAATTTACTGAAACAAATAGGTCAACCAATTTACGCTACAAAAACACCCTGACACTGACCGGAAGAAATGTGTGAGCCGCGCATACCCCGTGTGCATTTTCAGTATACCGTTCATATCACTCAAGAGATTGTATCATTAATTAACGTTCAACTCAAGTTACGTTTGTTTGAGCACAACTGTTCAAAAATTAAAAATTTGAGGGCTTGAGTTGCTCGGGAAGGGAACACACCTCTTTCTAGGAGAGGTCGCTCAAACCAGCATACTGAGCAGACTGACAAACCACCAACAGTGGAGGGAGTAGTCAATCACGGGGCATTTAAGCCAAAACGAACGATTTCATCACCTTTCTCGTATTATTTCCTTTCCTTAAAAACCCCATAAATTCCCTGTCAGCGGCATTCCTCCCTTCTTCGCCAGTATCACAAGTGTAATATTGAAACATCTCTAAATAACAATAACAGTAACAACAACAACAATCAAAAACAAAATATGACCATCCCCGGGCGTGGATCCAAGTGATGGGAATTGTAAACCTCCCCCCCCCACTCATTGCCATTTTAATGTGATTTCGTAGGGGCTTAAATCTAAAGATTGCAACCCCCCCCCAGACAAAAATTGGGGTACCAGCGCGGTGATATTACATTACTTAAATTCTTATCCTGTTTAATTCTATCAATCAATTTCCTTCAGTTATACCTGTACTACGTCTTCGATTATTTTTGTGGAAGCGGTGCATTACAAATTTGCAGTTATTATTATTATTATTAATGAAGTGCGGGAAACGTTCCATTCCGCACCGAGGAAGGTGCCGGTGGTGAGCCGGTCCTGGTCTTGGGCCATTCCCTTGAAGTTTTTCGTTTTATGTTAGACTCGGGTTTCGTGACTGTGTTGCCTTTCAGGAATGGCTTGGGGGGGAATAGGGTGAACAATTTACTTTGCGGCATCCTTCGATATTTTCTGACCGAGTGCAGGTTTACGTTATTTTTGGGTTTATTCTTGACCTTTTGGTATCGTCTGTTCTCTTTTGAGTACATAATTTGACACCTATCCAAGTAACTAGAAGGAAAGGGGAGCCCACAGTCAATACCCCAATGTCAGTGGGATCTGGGTGTTGTCGCGGCCTGCCTTGGCCGGCCCCAATCGTGGTCCAAAATCAATTCAGGAATTCACAATCTGCTTGGTAGATTTGGTACAATTCCACTTAAAATTGACAAAAGCAGATTTCCCTGCGTAATAGAGCCTGGAAGTTGACCTCTGATGGCGCACTTTCGGAACCCTTAGATCGGAAACATAAAGTGCAGAGATTTTAGAATTTATCTTTTCTTTTTTTTTTTTGGTTCAGTTTCTTCTTAAAAAGTCCAACTCGGAAAAGGCGCTTTGGAAAATATTTATGACGTGTGTTTAAATGAGTTTTGCTATGATAGGTCACTCTTCCAAGCGAAGCTTATTTTTTCCCAGCTATAACTACAATTCCAAGGTATTAGATGTAAACTTAATTAAACAACACAGCCGAATCATCAAAGCCAGTATTCGAGTAGAGTTTCAACCTTAGCTTAACCTTTCGTCAAGGCCTTAATGGCTGTGTGTGTGTGTGTGTAACTGCAAAGCGACTGGACAGGAGACCAGGCGAGTGGCGCAGCCACGAGGCTTTTTCCAACTTGATTTTGAGGTTTTTGTGGTGAATTATTCATAAGCTTTCTGACATGCATTATTCATAAATGTCATAAATAGTTGAGCAGATGAGTCTCCGAAATAAACGGCATCAACTCCATAGCTTACGCGATGTTTCCATCTGATTTTACACGAGGGCAATAAGCGGTGAGATAAAACTATGATACTTGTTGGTGGGGGATGGTTCTAACGTTGGAGTAACGCTAGCAGTTCATCAAGGCCGAATGGTCAAAGCAAAACGGCAGTGCTTGAAATATGGAGCTCATATCCCTTGGGTAAAGACGAAAATGTCGGGCCCGCGTACAGATTCTTCAGTAGCCTGACGATGCAACTGTTTAAACTCGGGCAGGTGAAATTATCCAGAAGCACTGTCCAGATACTGCTCAGACAACTGACCTGCACCGTTCTCACCGTCGGCAGCCGTTACCGTTGACATGCTCGCCATCTTTCGTTTACTTTCAATTTGCATAATAGGTTAATGCTGCTGACCCCCTCGCTTATGATTGGTAGGGATTTTTGCTACCCCAATGCATGCAATGGGGTAGAAAAATGGGGGGGGGGAAGAAAAAATTCCTGACAAGTTGGAAAAGGCCCTTGTGCTGAGACGCTCGTGTATGTGGTCTCCTCTCCGGTCGCTTTACGGTTACACGCACACAGCTACGAAGGCCTTGACGAAAGGCTAACCTTAGCCATGCTGAAAAAGAACGGGAACGATACGCAATTGTAGACACAGGAGGAGGGAACAATAAGAAGTAGGAATTGGAGCAAATAATTTTCTTTTGTGAAAACCAAATAGTACCCTCCTGTTTTGTCTGCCATGATTCTTCACAGTGATTCACTCCTGCCCCGCCACACCCAAGTGCAAAGGCCTTTTTTCGAGACGCATGAAATCATTTCTCAAAGTCCAATGGACAGCTCTTGTTTGAGGTGGGTGTGCCATGCTGGTCCTCAGCGCCTAAATATAACTTGTAATTTTTGGAATGTAGGACATCGTGTGTGCAATTGTAAGCGCTGATCTGCTCATGGAGCTATAAAACGAACCATGATCTGAGTCTTTGTTCAAAGACAAAATTAATGCAGAGAGAGGACGGCAAAAGTACACGTGCGTCAAGCATCCTGAAGAACCAGCCGCCGACCTGTGAAATGGCGGAGAGGACAAACGAAGGTAAACAAACAAAACCTCTATGTTTGCAGGCCATTAAATAGGTCCAAAATTGCCTGCGCGGACCGAATCACGATTTGTATAGTAAGCTGTGAAATTCTCTGCTATTAGAGAATTTCGTGGCTCATGGACCGGGTGGTTTGTAAAGGATGCAATCTAGAAGCAGGACTGCCAGCTTGTATATCCGAAAGTGTTGGACCGAACGGGACCCTCAAAATCGCTATTTTTGCAATGGGGTGTAGGCATTAATTTTCAAAATGGCGATGGGTCTCATGACTGCTTTGAGGGATGATTTTCTCTGGAGAGCATTATCTTCAAAAGTCGTCTGTTAAGCCACTGAAAATTGAAAGGAAAATGAAAGATGAGGAAGTGAGGTTTAATTTGATATGTGTCCTGAACACCTGTGAAACTTGTGAGTATTTTTCCTGAGTTTTTGAAGTGGGCATTGTCTATGGCATTGTATACCGGTCTGTACCCCTATGAAAGTCGAAAGCACGAAGAGACGTCAAACAGAGGGCGCCGGTAACGTTTTCAGATAACTGAGTCTGTACAGGTGCCACGATGATTGACAATTCCAGGGCTGCCTTAGCCTTGGTCAAGGTGTTCGTTCTTAGCCGCACTGACTAGCTATCTGTTTTCACCGTTGGTTTTCGTTTGCTGTGGATTTACCAGGATCTGGTAAAAGTGTCCGGGGAACACATTTACCAGGGGGACAGTTTTACCTTTTACACTTACATGATAATTATGTAAATCAGCTGAACGATCGTCCTATTTCAGCTGATTTACATATCTTGTTGGCTGCGTGAGGTCGCACTATGCACGTCTGTACACACAACGAAGGCAATAGCTCGCTAATGCGGTGCAGCTAATGACGAACGCCTTGACCAAGGTAGTAGGACCGCTTCAGCCCCGAATATTATGCCAACTTCGCCTTTTGCTAACTGCCCCTGGATTATCCTTCATTTTGGCCACAAGTCATCTCAGGAATAACATACAGAAGCAACACATTTTTATATATTTTTAAGGAAGCACGTATGCACAACGAGTTGATGTCTGTGACCTGTTACATATATTTGCTGGTAGGATCAGAGCTCAGTCAACATTGTTGACCGCTTTCGATGACGTCCACAAAATTAATGTCACGGTACACAGCCTGGGGAAGCTCTTCTGGAAAACAAAGGCCTTAAGGGTTACCACTCTATTTTGTGAAGACTAAAAATGGATTGTGAAATTTGAAGAGCCCGCGTTTGCGACAGTGTAATTTCGGGACAATGCTGGCTGGTTTTCTTTCCACTATTCAAAGCTAGAATTGATCCTCTGCATATTGCTAATGAATGTGAATACAGAATGCATTAATGTCAACAAAAGTCAGCTAGGTAGTCGTGGTTTTGCTGCAGCTCATTGTTAGTTTAATTTTCTCGTGTTCTAGGATCAAAAGATTCTGAATGAAAAAAAATATATGTGCAAATTATCCTAAAATTATCCGTCGTCGAACCCATTTTCATTAACCTGGATCTTCCCGATATCAATGCATGCTGAGGTGTTGTATGTACAAATGATGCCTTTTCTGAACACATCTGTGTTTCTACACGCAATGTACTTCTGTCATCTTTGGCCTCCCGTAATTTTTTTTTTCAAATTCTTTTACATGCTTAATGCCACTACTGACAAACAAGCAAATTAACACCCACAAAATTCAAAAACAAACAGTAAACTCTTTTCAGACATACGCGTGCATATAACAGGCATCTTATGACAGGGTTAAGACAGGAAACCAGTGTACGGCGAATTTTCTAAGGGAGAGTGAAACGAGATCCTCCGTGTAAATAACAAGTGCTGCCCGTAGTGCGGACCGGTGCTGGATGTTTGAGGACGAGTTTGAGGGGATGGCTTGTTGAGAAGAAAATCTGGTCATGTGGAACTTGTGCAGGAAAACTGACATTTGCATCGTCCGTTCAGCCCTATGTGTGCAAAGTGAAAATCAAAACCATGGATTATTGATCAGACAATATCATAAACGACACATAGTTGTAATAGTTGTAGTTGGGCCTGTTTCATGGGAATTTTGCGCCACACAGGCCTTCTCTCCTGGAGGAGAGAAAGAAGGTTCAACAATTACCTTATTAATGGATGAAATACTGTCAAGAAAGTTTCATGGCCGAAACTATAAAGCGTCAACTCTGCCATCAGCACTCACTTGCTCAATCATTGTGTCAACACATGGACGACGGAAATCAATTAAGATTTGTTATGGTAACTGTATTTATTTTACTTGAGCACTAAAATGCTTTTAACACGGTATAGAGAAGTCCAGTTTTATGGCAGGGGTGTCAAAATGTCATGTGGAGGGCCGGGGTACAAGCAGCCAGTGTTTGTTGTTGGTACAGTTGTTTTTGTTTTGTTTTCTGTCTTTCACAGAGTCAGACAGAAATTTTACTCCTCCGAAAACGCTGGCACTTTCTGTCCCCAGAAACGGGGAGAATTACTAGCATGTCTCCCGGAGGGCTTGCCCCTAGTTCCCCTTCCCTTCTGGATACGCCACTGATGCTGTAGTTGCGTGATTTCCATTAGTTTTTCAATCAGGTCATCCATCATCTTTAAACGGTAAATTGCTAATACGATAGCCAGGCTTGACCGGACGCACTTTCCGTGTTCCGGCTCCTCTAACGTTCAGCAAATTTGTTCGGGTTTTTGCCACTGTGTGCTGGCTCGGTAATGGATTTTATAGCGTTATGGACAGAGAAAAACCCCGGCAATACTGAACACAGTATTTTTGATATGATTGTCTTATCTAGAGTGAAGTTGAAAATTATTGAATGATGTATGAATATCAGTATATTTCTTTAGAATAAAATAACAGATGTTGTGAAAACCAAATATGACTTTCGAATTTATATAAAATTGCCAACAGGCATTCAGTTCATGGTGCGTGAGTTTTAATTAATTCACCTCAGTCACGAAGGAGCTTTGGCTGCCAAGTATTTGAAAACTCGAGAATTTACATCCACTATATTGCCCAAAACTAGGGATCAGGCGACAAGTTAAACCGAATATTTCTCAAACCTCTGCAGTGATGGAAAAGGTTCGAAAAGGAACATGGTCATATTGTTGTTTCGTTCCTTCAAAGTCTTTGGAAATAAGACGGAACCAACACAAACCTTTTCCATTTGCCAAGCACGTCAGTAGACTGACGAAGCACAGTAAAACATAATCGAGCTCTTGCAAAATGATCAAACTGCAGTGTACTCCAACAAGGAAAGCTACTTCACAAACGTCACGATAATAACACTGACGTTTATAGATGAAAAGAACAGAGCCTAGATGATACAACAGCGCAGCCTGTGTTATTTCTAATTCAATCCCCCGGTAAAAACTGGGACTTTTTTAAGGCCTATTATTGTTCGGCTTTTGTTAAATGATTCTCCAAATTACGGGAAGTCAAATTACAGGTGGAAACCCAACCAGCTAATCAAGAGAAACGTATATCATACAGATCAAATTCAGTTGTGAGAAACTGGACACAAAAATGCTATCCCTGACAACCCCCCCCCCAGAAAAATCATAAACCGATGCACAGCACACAGAATGGCAAAACCGCTCTCGCACGAGTTCATAGAAACGATCTTAAACTGTTTTTTTTTCGCTATAGGTTGGGAAATTTATGAAGTCAACTATTCTTCATACCAGCAAATTTTCGAATAGCCTTGGTCACGGCAATGGGTTCAACTCTTCAAGTTACAGGCCGTTCAATACAGAAGAGCTTACTATAAAAAAAAAAAAAACCTGCAATTTCGGTCATACATGTGTAATAGGCCATGGTCCGCACATAACATAATGCATTGTGTTCCACCGTATATTGCCGAGGCGTTGTAAGTCCTCTTACCAAGGGAATCAAGCCCCTACTACCGCAAACTCTGACGAAAGTGACCTTGCTGAGTTGCCAGGCAGACAATAATTACGTATCAGATTAATGGGACACGCATGCATCAGTGACAAGCAACAGAGCGATAAAATCATTGAATGAAGCGAAACATGCAAAACAGGTTTACTACCCGACAGCTTGATTTCACAGCTAGCTCCACAAGATTCGATGCTGGCTTGGGATGCAAAAATCGGACAACCAAAGTGTCTCATTTTGTGTTGTCACAGGTAGCAACTTGAAAGAGTATCATTATTCTTTCAAACATATGTTGCGACTTTCAGAAAACTAAAATGAAAAACACCTAACAACTACAAACAGAAAATAGCAGAATTCTGCCAACGAGAATATCGAATTTCTGTCCATTTTTTGGCGCCATGAGAGTCGTCAAAGAATAATCAAAATTTCCGCTGGTAGAAAGCTGAATTCTTTGAAAACGAAAGATTGTGTTGTCACCTTACTCTCCGATTTCTACAAAAACAACAACAGTACAGATGGAATCATAAAAGTTGTAACAGTTTTAAATGTAGAATTTCCGCTAGGTTCACCCGAGACTGCCAGTTATATTTTTTTCGCTTTGCTGGTGTTACGTTTTATTCTCCTGAAATCTCTAAGTCAAATCTTGATCGTTGTATCATTTTTCGGTCATTTTACCTATGATCAACAATTTTTGTGAAGGTAAAATATCGGTGTCACTCAAAATTTCAATTAACTGTCCATTATAAAGATTACGACTAAGTAACTGACCTTCGTGGGAAGAATTCCCATTTTCATTTGACAGCATTAAGCTGTTGGCATACCAGAAACTGAATCCATTTAAGGGAGATCGCGCTGTGCATCTTCTCCATCTGTATATCGCTTTCTTTTTTTAAAGACTTTTGGCACCTCGTCAACCTTGGGAGAAGTTTTTTTTGGGGGGTTACACCCAAATGCTTAAGAACATTTGTACATATTGCGAAGGTGAGAAAAAACACTGAAATAGGCCTTTTGAATACATTTACCCTCTGGTTTATGTTCCTCTCATCCCAGCATCAAAAATTGGATTAACCCCTTAAAGCCACATTAGGTGAGTTGACTACTAGGCCGATACGTTTGAGGATATAGAATTTTCATTTGGGGATACTGTTTCTCATCAGCGTTATATTTTAAACACTTTTTTAATTCACATGCACTTATGCAGCTTTTGAAATTTAAATTTGTTTCTTACAAAAAGTGACCAGATAAAAGAGCGACTTTACTTCACGAAAATGAAGGCAGAAACCACTATATTTCATTTTTCACTGTCAGGTATTTTCTCGCACATTATAACATAGGCTATGAGAGGGTGTACAAAATTAACCATAGATTACATGTATTCTAAGACAGTACAGTACAACTCTGCAGTTAAATCTTCGTCTGACTCTAGATATACCGATGTCTAAACCTATTTGGATTTGCAGGTTCCCCCGAGCGTTCAAGAGGTGGACCCCCTTACTTCTTCCCCTCCCCGAAATGTACAGAACTCTGTTGCACGCATGAAATCCAGCAATAACACAGAGCAAGAAATAAACTTCAAATTACTCTCTTAGATAATGTCACGTGTCCACAAAGACTCAACACCCGCACAATGTAACCCACTGTGTATTTATAGTGTCGGGTGAGAAGTTATTCACCAACACTAGTGTCATAGATGTGACAGAAGGCCAGCGGAATTCCGATCACGTCTCAGCAACATGGTGGCACATAGTAAGAGACGGGCCGCTGTTTTTGCACTTTACTCACCGAGCAAAAAGATTCGAAGCCTTTCAAAATGGGTCTTAATAGAGGCTTTACGTAGTAGCCGTCTTGTAGGGCAGTTCTTTTGTTCCACCGGGAAACATCCTCTTTGCAGACACTGTGGAACAAAAGCACTGGCCAGCAAGATGGCAGCCATGCAAACTCTCTTCATTACGAAGCTCGCTTCGTAAACTTTAAATGACGAGTACCATACCTGATAATATTACCAGTGATCGAAAATTACTTACATAGAATATTTATCAAGACTCTCTCATTACCTGAGCGCTGAACTCATACTCTAAAAACTCCCGGGTCAAATTGACCCAGAATTAGGTCCATTCGGCGTGACCCTTTTCTGGGTCAAAAATTAACCCCCTTTTGGGTCTTATTTGACCCTGTCTGGGTCATAATTTGACCAAGAAAAGGGTCACGCCGAATGGGACCCTAGGCTGGGTCACTCTGACCCGGGTGTTTTTAGAGTGTAGGGCAGACCCTACAGTCCATAGGGTCACACTCAAATGAGGCACATCTGCAATATTTCGTAATATACACTATCTCGGTTTACTCTAGTTCAGTTCAACACCACTCACTACTGTGAAAACGGAGTTCCTGCATTTTGCACTGTAATAGTCTCGATAAAATGTTCCCACGAAGACTTTTGGGATAAGATAACAGTACACAGTCGGGCCCTCAGCAGATGTCCATCTCTGCAAAATTGTGATTGTCCATTAAGATTTTGTAATGAAGAATTTGAAATTAAGTTGATTAAACTCTATTACATTTTGATCTTAAAACATTTTAATGTGTTATTTATAACGATCTTATCATTGATTTTTAATTAACACATATTGTCCACGGGTCCGGATTTACTATTTACAACCAAACTATGCATTCTAACGTCATCACAAAGTGCTATCAACGGTGCCAGAAGAACATTTGATCAGTCACCCATGGTAGGCCTACTGTTACTCAGCTTACACTTTCGAAAGTTGGTGCAGTATAGCAGTTACTACAAGGGCCTTGTAGCGTGCTTAAGAAATGTCTCACATTAGGTCTACTGACACTGGATAAGAAAATGAGGTAGAGGTCAGTGTGCCAAATGCTCATTAGATATGAAGTAAAACGTGGATGACATAGTTGAGTTATGAACTGTTAGCCAGGAATTTGACGCGTCTATCTGAGTGCTATTTGCCATGCATCTTCCGGAGATGACTGTCAAAAAGACATAGGTCAACACGTTGAGCATATGCCAACAAGCCACAATGCACTGTCGTCGTCACGTAAAAACTTCAAACATTTTCTTGCAAAACCGACAATTAGTTAGTAATCTTCAGTCTGGTGTGAATTTTTTGGGCTCCTGAACGCTTTTAGTGCGGCGGCACGGTAGGAAGGACACATGGCGTAATAAATGATTGGATTGATGGCAGAGTTCAGAAAGAGGAAACCGTGACTGAAAACTCTCAAACTGCTTTGAAGTTCGTTAACTTCCAAGAAATCTAGCCCACCGAGGTAGCCAGCAACGAAGACGAAATTGATGCAAGCAAAAGGGAACTGAAAGATGAAGAAGACCGTACCATTTATGACAAGCATACGGGTGACTTGGTTGCGGACCTGACGAGCTCTACGTACCATGGTCTCCCTGCCACTGGTCTTAGCTACGGAGCGGTTTGCCAAAGTGCGGATGATCTGGACGTACATGAACGCATTGCCTAGCAGCGCAATCATGAACGGTATAGATGAGGCCAGGTTGCCGACCACCAAGGCCCACGGTGCCAGGGGCAGGCAGAAGCCGATGATGTCAGGGAGATCGGCGAATTTCTCGGTGCCGTTACCGCTCGGCCAGGTGACGCAGATGCGAGTCGAATCGGCGTACTGCAAGACGGCCAGGGATGTAAATGCCAAGCCCACGCACCAGGTGCCAAAGACAAGCTTTACCGCCCGTTGCTTGCTGTTGACAGCCAGGTGTTTCAGTGGGCGGCAAATGGCGTTGTAGCGCTCGACAGACACCAGCGACACAGTGGAAACGGAGGTGAAGTAAGTCAGAAACGATATTGAGACAGCAACGGGACACCAGATATTGAGCATGGAGTGGATGTGACTGCGCACCGGGGCCGGCAGGTAAAACAGGTAGCTGGTTGCTGTGTATACCACAAAAAGAATATCCGCTATGGCCAGGTTTACCAAGAAGATGTTGGTGATGGTCTTCATGTAGGCCACCCGAGCCACTGCCACAAGGAAGGACACATTCCCAGGCACACCGATGACCAAGACCAGGATCTGGATACCCAGGGCGATCGCTCGAGATCCCGGGTTGACCAGGTAGGTTGATGCCCGCTTGACATCATCAGTAAGGTTGAGTTGGTAAAGCTCTGAACAGTTCAAATGACTCGTGTCCACGACCATTTTGGCTCGAAACTGCAGTTCAAATTTACATAAGGCAGAACTTACGTTTCAATGTTTACCGTGCGGTGAATTTTATTTTACAGGTATCCTCAGTTTCAGAGGTCTGGGCAACAGCTTGGAGAACACTTCTCTCGAACGCAGGACAAGGAGACTGCTGGCATCAATTGTTTACACTAGCAGAGGTACCGTGAGTAGGCCTACATCATTGATTCGAAACAGGATTTTGTGACTTACGATGGAACCATGGAGGCCATGTTACGACCTGCGCGAAATGCAAAACACAAGAAATGGGATATCGTAAGCACTGCTTCGACGACAGAGGTCGTGTCAGACGGATCGTATGACCCTTAACATAAAATTCCTTTGGACTGACACTAGCGGGCGCAAGGTTGTCATTTCAGGAAATACTTCATATGTAAAATCCAAGGACAAACTACAACCTCACCCAAGGATGCTTTCTATGGCACAGTGCTTGACACAAAAGAAAGATTCATTGGGACAATCCGTGGCAACCCTGTCCGCCAAACGTTTCGCACATTTCCACGAGCGTCTTTTTAAGTTATGACGTGGCATATATTAAATTTTCCCTGTAGCATTAATATGGTCGTTGTCGAATAATAAACCTCACAGAAGGTGGAATTATGATAAAATCCAAACATAGGGCTGTTTTAATAGACTATTTTGAAAGTTACAAAATGAAATTGATTTTGCTGAGCCATAACTTTTGAGGGTTAACCCACGACACCCTATCATAGTGTTGGCAATGAAAGAACTATATTCACTGCTCTCCCACGTAGCATCAAGGTGCATTTTATTTGCAGGGTATGTCGTCATGGGGTACATAAAAGACAAATGCGTCTTGACTCTGACATGGTAGGATTAAGAAGTCTTCCTAATCATGGATAAATGTTGGACGAATGGATATTCCCTAACTACGGGGTTATCGACCCCTTTACCTTCAAAAAGCATGCTGTATATTCAGATGGCCCCTTAGTTGCTCTGTTGTTCAGTGGTGAAGAAGCATCATTTTCAAAAGTCGCAACTGGGATTAAGACTGAAACTGCTACGTCCCCATGCCTCACAGCTCACACAGAAAGAGTCGAGATCACGTGGCTCAGAAGATCAGGGTTGTCTCTCTGTTATTTGACGCGAGAGATGACGTGACTCGGAGCGTGGTTGTTTCTGCCACTAAAATATGGCTCTACATGTACAGTATCTTCCACGAGTTACACACTCCGGCTATTCACGTACGCGTACGTTTCCTTCCTCAATTTAGTTTCGCTTATTGTTCAGGGTCGTACACTTGAACGCGAGTGAGCTTTTGTGATGGAAACGAGACGTTTGATGGATTATTTTGTGAGTCTAATGTAATCAAATATGCAGTAGCCTTTTTCGAGCAGTGAAAATTCGTTCTTCCTCTCTTCGTGCTAGACTATTGGAACACCATAAACATGAAGGAGTCGCCCTTACTTTAGCGTGTGTGTCATTACAAACGTCCATTACAAATATATATGTGGGGTATATCTTCAGGAAAACCCCTACAAGAAATGTTTTCAACGGTTATGTTGTACTCTGTGTTGGCAACACGCGGTGCGGCGTCTCCATGTGAGACTACAGCATGCACAAGTAGTATCGAACACTGGCTACGGCTCTCCACTGCTGCCTCGTTTGATCAAAATTCAAAGCCGCATCGCAGGAGATACGACCGGATTATGGCTACCCCTGTCATGCGCCGCCCCAAACAATCTGAAGTATTAACTAAATTGGTACACCGGCAGGGCTGTGTGAACACACGTTCACCGCGTCACACAAGGTCGTCCAACAGACTTTGACCAATACGCGTAAAATCACTGATCCGCACACCCAACAATACGGTACATGTTTACGGGTGAAAAATCTTTGGTGCGACCCATGAATAAGACGTACGCCCATTTAGAAAAAAAATCATCATGCGTAAACTTAAAATCTATCTACTGGGCAGTTCTTCTCTTTATCAGGTCACAGTTGTTTGTTTAGTGTTTTTGGTCCCATGGGAACATGGTCCGTACTAATATAAATTACTTACAATCCGTACCGTATCTCATATAGGTAAAATCATGATCTCTATTTTCAACTGTCATACAGCACAGTATCAAGCAGGTAATATCTAAAGTCTGCGTCTCATACGGAACTAACTATACACTATATGACTCTGTTGATGTTAGCCTCTATCTTGTGAATGTCTCTTATTAATGGACATGAGTTCAGGATCCCCGCGATGCGCCTTAAGGACCAGAGTCTTAGCGTCTGTTGGGGACAGCCAGTGTAGCATGTTGGACGTAGATGGAGATCGTCCTGAACGACCAACACCCAAAAGCATCCACGCGTTGAGAGCCCTGGCAACGAGTGTCGTGCTTGAGTCATGCTACCCGAGCAGCTGAGCGAGCGTGTCAATGAGGAATGCGAATGTGAATGGCAGTGATAAACGACAGCAAGTTGTTGATGAAACCAAGGGTTTCTAGTTGTCCAACAGTGCCAGATTTCTCGCCGTCACAGGGGCTCTGAACATGTGCGTCCTGCTCCCATGTTTTCACAAGTTCCGTTGGAGTCAGCTTTATAAAAGGTCGACAAACATGGCACAGTTTTTGATCATGCAGGCTTGTTTTTAATCTGACTATTGGAGAAAAATATTGAGAATTAAAGCTGCCCTATTCCTAGTGACTCGGAGCATGACTTTTTAAAAAGTTGTTGGGTATGAAAACAAAATAGATAACACAACAAGATTGTGTAATTAATCCCTTTTGAACTAGAGGAATGAGATAATTGGTTAAAATCTACTACCCCGTCAGAGAAAAACCACAAATCAATAAGGGTGTGTCCAGCTGACGGAGAGTTCGAACCTAGTTTTGATGAAGATAATTTCATTTGTGTGAGTGGGCGCAGATGAGTAGCACGCATGTCCTAGCTATTCACAGTCGGAAATGCAATTGAAGGCTATTATAATCAGTGTTCTGTATACAAATACAGAAGTTTAAGAAGAAGAAAACGTTGGAAGGCCCTGGACCAGAATTGAGTCTAGAAACACTGTCGTATCGTGGAATCTAAATGTAACGATCTTGTGGGAGGTCACATTGTCATGGCGAACGTCAGAAAACACTCTGGTGGCGGCGTGTCTATACGATACCGTTCGGTAGGCTGAAGATGTGGTCTAGTTGGGACGTAATCAATTCATCTTCGTGTGATATGTCACCGCCATAATGGCTTGACTTGAATACCCCGAAACAAGTATTCATAGATTTGGCAGACACACTCGTTTAGACATCATTATATCTGAGCTAAACACAGACACCAAAGACATTGACACACATTCCTTCAAGTGCCAATCCCACGGGTGCACTGACGATATCCAGATAGCAGGAATACCCCAGAACTCCAGTTATTCCTCCCAATGCTTTGACCCAAATGTCATAAGTAACGAATCACGGTCATCAACCTCTTTATTCTGAAGACAAAAGTACAACCGTTTCCACACTACCTTTAACACGGTAAAACGCATCGATCGTCACGATTTGCTGAGTGGGTCGAGCGGTTGCTTGAAGTGGTCAAAGCCATCAATTGCTGGCCAATCCTCTGGTCAAGTATCGAGAGGTTCCTTTACCCCAGGACGTTCTCGTTAGATAACTGCATCAAAAATGTCGTCGCTGGAGCACCGAGGAGTTTACTGCTCATGTAGAAAATGCAGGCTGATGTTTTCCTGGACGAAAACAGGTTTGATGAAATGGCAAAGCAACAGTTGTATCTGGTGACATGACCCAGAATAATATTTCTCGAAAGAAATTCATCAGGTTAATTATTGTACACCCTTCTGAAGATTTTTGGACAGTTTTGTGGCCTCGAATGAAAAGTGCCTTCAAATAAAATATGCCCCCTCCATCTCTAGTTGCTGTCGCCTTAAAAGCACATCTTACAAGTATACACCCTCACGAGTGAAAATCAGAATAGGTTCAGGAGACAAGTAAACCCTGACGCCACAGGTGCCACGCATCCAACATTGACGGGAATGCGCTACCCATTAGCCCACTTATTACGAAGAGACATCAGACCACAATCATGCGAATTACTTAGCTAATGGCTACGGTTGCATTGGGAACTGGCATAAACCCATTTCGGTGTAAAAAGTAAAACTGCCCCCGCACCCAGTAAATGTGTCCCCACGCACTTTTACAGTATCGCTCTCTGGTAAAAGTGTCCCGGAGGCACATTTACCTAGGTTAATCTGTCCTCCTCCTGGTAAACTTTTTCCCATGCCCAACGGTAAAATTTATCCCCCGAGAAATGTGTCCCCGTGCAACGTCAGAAGTCTGTTATCCAGGTAAATGGCCGTGGTCGGACACAGTCCGACTGGTACTAACACAGGCCGGGTCCTCGTTGATTGCCTACTTTGTTACTCCGGGCTTAACTGTCAACGTAGACCATAAAGTACGTTATGCCGTGGTTTTACACGTTGCTGTTCCTTCACAGGGTGTCAAAGGTAACACGGACACCCACATATTTGAGTAGCAGAGCAAACTTATACATGTCTGGTAAACTTGTAAAGGCAGTTTTCATGTTGATGTGATTTCTGAATCGGACTCTGCAGTGCACTGCTTACGCGATGGCCTAAAGTTAGAAAATAGGGTCTTAAAGGCACTGAAGAAAAACCCCGCGGGATGGAGGCCTATATAGGTGCAGCTTGACCATGTGCTGGACCCTGCTATTTTACAATATTTACAACCAGATCTAGGTTTAGTTCAGGCCTAGCTATAGGCAGAGACTGGAATAAGGAAACAATGTGTTTTAAATTAAGTGCATCACTTCCACATAATAGACAGTGTTGCTTCTGACATCATGCGTGACCTCGTGGAAGGGGTTTGCCCCCGGAACTGAATTTTGGTACTAAATGAATTGATAAAACAAGGCCACTTTGATCATGACACTTTGAACGGAAGATTCACAAGTTACAATATGGACCAACTGATCGGAAGAATAAGCCCCGTATTTTTTTCAGCATGCACGTACACATCCCGATGTAGCAGCTGAACAGAAAGCAGCCCAGATGTGGTGCGTGATGAGGCACATACCAGTGTTGCTAGGTGACTCATTTCCTGAGGACAGTGAGTTCTGGGAAATCTTGTTGTTGCTGCTCCACGCCATGCATGGACTTCATCTTTGCTCCCATTGTGAGCAAGGAAGAAACTATTTTTCTGAAACACATAATCACCATAGTCTGTTCCAACAAAAGTGTTTGGAGAACGCCACTTGAAACCTAAACACCATTTCATGACACACTACCCAAGTGCAATACAACCCCTCGGACCACTCAAGCGATTTTGGATTATGAGATTTGAAGCCAAACATAATTTCGCAAAACGGCTTGGACACGTTGTCTGCAACTGCCAGAATAGTACCAAAACTCTGTAATGTAACGGGAAGTGTGAAACGTTCAAACAGAACTCTCACATGTTGACCCTAATTATCCCTGTACTGAAATCTTGAATGTGTTTCCACTCCACATCACCTGCTTCTTATTTCTGGTAGCACCTCACAGATATTTCCTTTCCTAAACTGAGCTATTCATTCACGTTGTTTGTATGCATATGTACAAATGCATGCAAAAGCTCAATTTCTATTCCTACTAAGATATAACAATTCGAGAGAAATTGGTGAAACATTGTAGGCCTCCACATAGTTCTCATAATAACTAGAAAAGAGGAACCCAGTCAAGAGCATGCACACCCCATAGTTGTGTATCCAGTACATGTAGGAACATCACACAGTGACATTGCCACTTTTATCATTCTTGGATCCTGACACATTTCAATTTAAATGAACAGTAACATTTAAATAATGACATGATCCATGAACGTGTTTGTGCACATATCATTGTTTTAAAATAAAGAAGTATTTGATCATTTTTTTCCCAGGGGGTCCCTGGGTAACAAGTACCAGTACATGTAATTGTCATTTGATATCTCTAGACCCCTTTATTTGCACAGTATTTTTATTACATCAGTCTACTATAGGGGGACCAGGCCTTAATGTGATTTCAGAGTTTGAATAAAACGTCAACACAGATTTCAAAGATCTTGTTTTTAATATTTTTTTGATGTAGGATTTCAAGGAAATACTTGAGAAGCAGAAGGGAGGAGAAGCAATTGTGCAGGAAATTAAAGGTTTGCTTTCCCACAAGGCACGATTTCAGGCAATTCGATCGCTAGTATCCCACCAGAATTAGGAAAGGTATTAGTTTTTCAGTGTTACAATACAAAACATGCATTGAACTCTCGTTATCGTTCAGAGGAAACTTTAA